CAAACGTAAATTACATAGAATTAAGCTATATTCTAACATATTAATCAACAATTTTCCATGTTTTGACAGTACGATAAGTGTGTAAAAACGCACTTATCATGAAGATTCAGATGGTCCATAAAGTTCGTGCGACCTTGATGACGATGACGACAATCTACCATTTTCACAAGGCATTAGGAATGCCCCTGCACTGAATCACTTCACGCATCCTAAGATTCCCAAGTATGATGGAAGCGGCGACCCTGCGAAGCATCTCAATAGCTCCAAGACTCACATGAGTCTGAGAGAAGCCATCTCTGCCATGAAGTGTAGAGTATTCCACTTAACCCTAGGTAGAATAGCTAAAATATGGTACACTAGACTTTTAGAAGGAAGCATCCAAAGTTGGCCAGACTTCAAGAAAACTTTCCTTGAGCGTTGTGTGAGTCATTGAAAAGCTTCCTATCTTATTTCACTGATAAGATGACCTACTATGTACAAATTATAGATACGGAAGCTTTGACAGCCCTAAGGGAAGGACGAACATGAACTCTCTCTTCTAGAGAGACGTAAAAAACAAATACCATACCAATTATGATACCTCACTGGAAATGATAAGGCATGAGATCATCAATGAAGAATTGAAGGAATTATTTGTCGTTTACATTAATTTACCATTTATGTACGAAATTCCTAACTAAAAATGATATCGACACGGTCATAGATGATCAGAGGAGTGGAAGGGGATGCTATTCAAATTCCTTTAGGAGAGTAGAACCCAGAAGTGTCAATGTAATCGAGACAGACGTTGACAAAGACGACATCCCTGAACATGAGGAAGACGTCAAAATGATGGACGCCTTTAAAGAAGAAGCGGTCCTTAGAGGCATAAGAATTGATGAAAAAGAGGTTGTCCTAGAAATGCAAGTATCCCCTGAAGAAGGTAGAGTTGCTGAAGAAGAAGCTGATTTGGAGGAACTAGACCCTCTCATCATCAATTGCCAGCCTCAAACAGTCTGAGTAGATGAATTGGAGAGTTTTCAAGTCGATCTCCAAGATATCTCCAAATGCCTGCAGGTTGGAAAAGATCTACCACTAAAGGTCAAGGAAAAGCTAAAATGTTTCTTGCCCCAAAACTTGGACGTCTTCGCTTAGAAGCATGAAGACATGGTTGGCATTGATCCAAAAATTTGTTACCACAAGCTAAAAATCGATTATAAGGCTACAGCTCAAAGACAGAAAAGAAGAACCCTCAATCCAGAGAAATATGAAGCCTTAAGAGATGAAGTAAAAAAGTTGATCGACAATTGCTTTATCCGGGAATCGACGTATCTGAAGTGGGTCTCTAACCCTATCCTAGTCAAGAAGCATAATGGCAAGTGGAGTGTCTGTGTGGATTTTTAAAACTTAAATCAAGCTTGCCCCAAGGACAGTTTTCTATGTCCTTGGATAGACCAACTAGTGGACTCAACGGCCAAACACGAATTGCTTAGCTTCGTAACTGCCTACTCCTGTACAATCAGATTCCGATGTTCCCAGCAAACGAAGAACTTACGTCCTTCATAACAAACAAGAGTCTTTATTGCTATAAGGTCATACTCATTGGGTTGGAAAACGAAGGAGCCACTTATCAAAGACTTATTAACAAGATATTCGCTGACCTCATTCTAAAGACAATGGAGGTATATGTTCACGGCATGCTGGTAAAGAGATTGAAGGCAGAAGATCATGTGAAGCACCTCAGTAAAACTTTCTAAATATTACGGAGTTATAGGATGAGGCTTATCCCCCTGAAATGTACATTTGAAGTTGCCTCAGGAACATTTCTAGGCGACATGGTCAATCAAAGAGACATTGAAGCCAACTCAAAGAAGATCAAAGCCCTGATTGAAATGAGGTCACCTCAGAAACTTAAAGAGGTACAGAGCCTCATTGGACTTATAGATTATTCGAATTGCTTCATCTCGAAGGTAACAGATAAATGTCTATCCTTCTTTGAGATTATGAAGGGAGAAAATAAGTTTCAATGGATGAAGAATGCGAGGTAACCCTACAAGAGTTGAAAAAGCACTTGGGGAAAACTTCCCACTCTCTAAACCTAAGACTGATGAACCGCTGCACCTTTACCTAACATTAACCCCTGACGCAATCAGTTCAGTTTTTGTAAGAGAGGAAGGTGGTCACCAGCTACCCGTTTATTATATAAGCAAAGCATTTTTGGTAGTAGAGACTCGATATCCAGATATGAAGAAGCTAGCACTCTCATTGGTGACAGCTTTTCAGAAATTAAGGCCATATTTATAGGCCCACACCATACACGTGCTGGCTAACTTCCCTCTCAAACAAGTGCTACAGAAGCCCAATACTTCGGGAAGATTACTAAAATGGGTTGTGAAACTTAGCGAGTTTTGATATTGTGTTCAAATCGAATGCCGCTGTTAAAGGACAAGCCTTATCAGGTTTTGTGCTAAAATTCACCCCTGTTCCAGAAATGGAAGAGGAGATAGAACCCGCCGAACCCCCCCACTTAGAACCTTTTTGTTGATGGCTCCTCGGGAGACAATAGAATTGGGACATGAATGGCCCTGGTTAGTCATAAGCTTAATTGTGTCGTGAAGTTCGGCTTCAAGGCTACAAACAACGCAACAAAATACGAGGCCCTTTTAGCTAGCCTCAAATTGGCCAAATAATTGCAAACAAAGAGATTGGTGATCAGTAGCGACTCTCAGTTAGCCAGGTTATGGCAATTTCTCGGTCAGAGATAAGTCTATGGCTACATATCTAAAATTGGTCATAAAGCTTATTCCAGATTTTGAAAAATTTGAGTTCGTACAAATCCCATGTTCGGAGAATGCTTATGCAAAAGCTCTTTCAAAGCTGGCCAGCAGTAAAAATTCTGAACTGCTCAGTGTGGTGCTCATAGAACACCTTTCTAGACCCTCTACTGCTATGGGTGAAGAGATGATGTATGTCGAAGATACTCCACTATGGATGAAGCCAATAATATGATTCCTCAAGCACAAAGTATTATCCTCTGAAAAAAGGAGACACAAGCTCAGAAGATGAGCCGCTCATTCCATTTTTGAAGACGATGTGCTATACAAACAAGGTTTATCCTTGCCCTTACTCCGATGCATAGGAGGAGAGCAAGCCACATATGTACTATGAGAAATTTATGAAGGGGTATGTGGTAACCACTCGAGAGGATGGTCCTTAGCAGAAAAGGTATTAAGATATGGATATTATTGGCCTATATTAAAAAATGATGCACAGCAGTTCGCAAAGAGATGCAATAAGTGTCATCGCTTCTTGATCATTCAGAGGCAGCCTTCCCAGGAACTTAGCGTTGTTTCTAGCCCTTGTCCATTTTCCAAATGGAGGATTGAACTTATAGGCACCCTACCTAGAAAGAGGGGCAATTCCAGTTTCGCAACTGTCGCCATTGATTACTTTACTAAATTGGTAGAAGTCGAACCCCTTTCCAAGATCACTAAAGCAAATACCTTCTAATTCCTATTGAAAAAAATCATTTGTAGGTTCAGAATTCCCCATTAAATTGTCTCAGATAATGGACGACAATTCAACAACAAGAAGGTCAAAAACTTATATTAGGAGCTAGGCATCAGGAAATATTTCTCCTCCCCATATCACCCTTAGGCTAATAGACAAGTGGAAGCTGTGAGCAAGACTATCAAATACATATTGAAGAGAAAATTAGATGATTCTAAGGGGGCCTGGGTCGAAAAACTACCTCAAGTCCTATGGTCCATTCGATTTACAAGCAGATCGGCTACAGAAGAAATTCTTTTCTCTATGGCTTATGGATCCGAGGCTATGAGCCCAGTTGAAGTGGGTCTGCCGTCTCCGCCTTACATTTATTTTAACGAAATATCTAACAACGAGTTGAGAAGATGTAAACTAGACCTCCTTGAAGAAATAAGGGATGATTCTCAAGCAAAGTTGGCTAACTACCAACGGAAAATGACTAGGTACTACAATTCTAAAGTTAAGAAGAAGTCATTTCACTTTAATGAATTGATGCTTCGGATGGTGTTCTTATCTTCTAAAGATCATGGGGCATGAACATTTGGTCCTAACTGGGAAGGCCCTACCACATCAAAGAAGAAGTTCGGTCTGGGACTAATAAAATTGAAAATATTTGTACAGTTCTTGACTCAATGAAATTGACTTTATTAAAGTGTTTGTAAAGAAAAAAATACCTTATATTGACAAAAGTCAAAGGGGAAGGCTCTACGTAGATGAACCATCCTTATGTAGAGAAGCATGGGCACTTTGACGAAGAGTTGGATCCCAAAATGGACCACCTTCATACTCGCGAAGTGGACATCACGTGTCCTTAACAACAAAAGTTGTTAAGGAAGTCTCAGCATGGGCGAACCACTCCACCTTATACTCGGGAAAATTGTTGATTTTATTAAATTGAAATTGTTCTTAATTTTATTAAGTCTAGTTTGCGAAAAAAAAAATGTACCTCCTATTGACAAAAGTCATAGGACAATCATCTGCATAGATGAATCGTCCCTATGCAGAGAAATGTGGGCACTTAGACGAGTAGCTGGATCCTAAAAGGGACCACCTCCTTACTCACGAAGCGAGTAGCACATGCTCTTAACAACAAAAATTGTTAAGAAAGCCTCAGTATAGGTGAACCGCTCAACATCATACTCAGGGCAATAACTAAAAGTCACGAACTACAAATACTTGTGCAAAATAAATAAGTCTTAAGTGCAATAAAGCCAAAGTACAAACAAACTCAGACGTCAAGATAGAAAGGTAAATGACTTTTTTTGAACACTTGTGTAAAATCACAAGTTTGAATAATGAATTATAAACAGAATACGCTGAAGAACATTACAAAGAAGTAAAGTATATAGAAGTTACAGAAAGTAAAAAACTAACAAGTATATAAAAAAAAAGAAAATTTTATTCATTGAATAGATATTTACAATTGTGGACCGAAGCCAATTACAAGGAAAATATAAAAAAAAAAAACCTATCAGCTAAGCAGGTAGGGGATGAGGAGCTACAAAGGATACAATAACATTATGAACCATAGCTTTAGAAGCTTCTTTAGCATCAACTTCATCAATTTCGATCACATGGCTACCATCTTCCGGAGTTTGAGGCTCTTGTTCTCCCTCTTCCAAAAATTCTAACCTCAACTCAGCGGTATTGAAAGCTTGAGAGTTGACTTTAATCCACGCCACCATCTTAGTATAAGCATACCTCCGCCAGTACTTCACGAAGCTATGGTACGCCTCCATTAGGTGGAAGTTGGCAATAGAATGCTTTACAGTATCTTCACCGATCGATAAAGCTTCCTGCCTCAGCCTTATAGCATCTTCACCAGCTACTAAAGCTTCATGACTCAGCTTTACAGCTTCCTACCTCACCGTCTCAACTTCTTTTGTCAAGCCAGTAACCTTATTGTTCAGCTCTCCTGCTGCTTCAAGGTAGCATTCATTCTCCAAGGCCTCAACAGCTAGCTTCGGTAGGCATTCGAAGACTCCTCCTGCTTTGTCATGGAAGCTACTTCGCTTTAGGACAAGTGGACTTCCTTCTTCAGATTTTCAATTTCCTCCATTGCCGACTAGAGCTTCACAGACTCCTCAACCTACTTTTTTTTATTGCTTCAGCCTTAGCTTTAGACTTGCTGACTGCCTTCTTGGCCTGAGAAGTTCTATTCACAAATTCTCTATTTTTACTTTGAAGGTTTTTAAAGAGAGCTTCAGCCTTTATGGCAATCCCAAAGGCCCTCCTCGTTTGACTGACCATGGTGGCGAAAAGGTCCACCACATTGTTAGTTTCCATGAAGCTTTGACACCAATCTGTAAAGTATTTGTGAAATGTAGACGTGGCCATTTGGACCTTTGGAGGAAGCATGGTCAGAATCTCTAAAGCCAATTCATCTTAGGAGACTGCAAGTTTTTGGCGGGACAAGTCAAGAGCCATCGACCCACTCGAAGTTTTGGTCTTCTCCGATGATCCCTGCCCGGAAGGCTCTACAACAGTTGGTCTTCTAGCCCCCATTTCGTCGCAACTATTAAGGCTACCATTAGCTTCTCTCCAGAAGGGACTTCAAAAAGGAGGGGATGGGGTGGCCATTGATCCACCCTCACTGGTGATGGAGAAACGTTGTTTCTTCTTGGGACCCCATCACCTATCTTTTTCCCCTTGTCCTTCGCGAGAGGTCACCATTCTCCCTTTTGGTTGTCGCCTCCCAACTAATTTTCTCCACTTGGTCCCTCACCTATTTTTCTGCAATAGATGAGGGCTTCAGCCCTTTCCTCCCAACAGTGGAGGTGGCAGCAAGAATTGTGGCCATGTCAGGAATGGGATTCCTTCTCTTCTCGAAGTTTTCTACAAAAGCAAGAAATAAGACTAGCAATAGTGTTTATACAAAACTACAAAAAAAAATTCAAAAATTAGCAATACATCTTCGGTCATTAAGCAAAACTTTTCAAAGAAACGTTTGGAAGTGATTAAACAGTCAAATTCATGTGACGATGAGGAACATTGGTCTATGTCCTCAATAACATCAAACTCGCTTCGACTGAGCTCAAAGCATGCTACCGATCCTATAAGACATTAGAAAAAGGTTAAGATCAGAATAATGATTAAGTAATATCAAATACAAGTATAAAACTCACGAGTTTCTGAGTATTAGGTCGAAAATGTCACGTGGGAAACTATGTCACCCTTACATTCCTACCTTGTCCCATCTCTCAGAACCACATCTCCTTTCATCATTTGATAGAGGAGGAAAGGCCAAAGACAAAGGAGAAATGTGACCCCCACAGACATTAAGAATACCACCCTTTGGAATCCCTTTTTCCTAAAACCCTGGGTTGGAAAATGGTCTGGAAGAAATGAAGGGGCATATCCTCTCCAAGGGAGGTTTCCTTCCACAAGAAATAGGTTCCACTAACTAGGACTAAGCATTGGGGACGAACCAAGTAGGAGCCAGCATGTACAAGCTCAAAACGGCTCTAAAGAAATGATGAAGAGTCATGCGAAGCCTCGCCTTGAGAAGGAACTTACTGACGGCGACACACTCCTGCCTCGGAAAGCAGGCACGCTCGTCAGGAGAGGGGGATAGAAGTTCAATGTCATATGGTATACAGTATTTTTCCTTTAAATTTTCTAAGTGGGATGCGTTCACAGTTGAAGGAATTTTGGCTACCCCCCAAGCTATCCCGTAACTTTTCCACCCTCCCATGAAGGCAATGAACTATCTCCGGCCCTAATGGCTTGAACTAGGTCACCTATATTGATTATTGTTATCCTCATCTCAGAATCCATTTGGCTGAGATCTATATCCCCTAGCAGAATGTGAAGATTCCATTAAGTTTTTGAGTTCAAAGTGTTAAAATACTTACAAAATGCCCAAACGACGCTGAAAAAAGTCACCAAAAATTATGAATGCAAAGAAAGAAAAAGAAAAGAGATTAAAAGATTTAGGAAATAAGATTGCTGATTTTGCAAATGGCAAAGTGATTTTTTGCGCATTTTACAGGTAGAAGCTCCTAATCCCAGCCGTTAGATGTCAATTCGGATCATCTAACCGTTCATTTGAGATTTAAATCTAAGCCACTCAGTACATCGGACGCTTCGTCTTCTAATGTCCAGATCTGCACTTCTGCATCACGCGCTCTAATGCATCTGAATTTCGCAGGACGCGCATTTGACAACCATCATCGTGCATTAAATATAGTGGCAGTTGCTTGTATATGAAGACAAACCGCTTCAGCTCCCTTTTCTTGAACATGTACGAAACAGAAAGTCATTTGGCACAATAATTGAAGACGCCTCATATTTCCAACGTATCAAAAAATTTGGTTCTCTATAATTAATAAGTCACAGTCTGGATAAGTAGTAGAGGCATTTCACCTCAACCGCTTCACTTAACGCTTCAGAAATACAAAGCAACTTCGAAAAGGATAACCTTAGGCAAATTTTTCCTACCGATGCTCCTCCAATTTATTCTACAGATTCGGAGGTCACCAAGTACACAACTTCGAACAACATTGATAGGTAATTCATGCTGATCAACTACTTTCAAATTCTAACTATAATATAGATATTTATACTTAGACTAGAGGGACTATTGTAGTGTGTAAAAATCACCCCTAACAAAAAAAATTCATACAAGTCCATGCATTACATAAATAATCATGCATAAACTTCTGGGACTATTGTGGTGTGTAAAAATAACCCATAACAAAAAAAATTTCATACAAGTCCATTCATTACATAAATAATCATGCCTAAACTTGGGGGACTATTGTTACGCCTCACCACTGAGTCTCCAGTCAAAGTGTCACGTTGCAGTCTACGTAGAAAGGAAAGTCAACAAAGACCTAATTGGTCAAATGCAAAGAAGTCAAACAAAAGCCAAAGCTCATATGTCGAAGCACTGCCTAAATAGCTGAAGCTCTTAAGCGCTCCAAAGCATTGTCTAAATGATTGAAGTTGTAAGTTGAAGCGCTACGTAAGAAATTAAGGAAAAAGTCGAAGCTCTTCACACAGAAGACAACCAATATGAAGTTCTCTTCGGTCGAAGTCCTTAGTTCATCCGATGTCCCTGAAACTGAAGTTGTCTCTTACAAGATTTATAGACAATCTTTAGGAATAATTGATGTAACGTTTGTAATAAAGAATGTCAGGTGTGTCAACTTAATATATAGGGCGGCGGACTTGTTGTCAATGTATTTATTGCTTGATAGACTTAGTGATGTGAGGATTTAGTCAAGAAGATGAGGCCACGTAGTTCTGATCCAACGGACATCACGTAGGCTAAAACACTATAAATATGTGGTCTTTGTAAAAGGTCGGGAGCTTTTTGGATCTTTGGATGGTCATTTTGAATACTAATTCTAATATATAAGAAATCACTTAAGATAAATACTCTCAAGAAACCTTCTTGCTTGTTCTATATTTGTTAGCTTGATCTTATGTTATTTACATTTTTTCTGTGATTGTTTGTAAGCACGATCATCTTAGTCACTACAGTTGGTACTGGAACACTTTAGTCAGGCATTTGTTGCCTACATTGGCGTTACGTTTTGCGGGGTCAACACCAACCACAATCATGTACTTAATAGGTTTAGATATTTCCAGCACAAAGATTGAGTTTATGATGTGTAGCTATGGGTATGAGTACTAGTATTGCATCAATCATATGAGTGCAAGTGAGAAGATCATTAATGTAGCTCAGTTGTGATAGGACTAGACCATATTTGTTTAGAATAACTTCGACTCCTAGGAAGTAGGATAGTGGCTCCAGATCCTTGAGTAAGACCATATTTGTTCATCTACATGGCTTCTGAAAATTATATGTATGCTAAGATGCTTCATGAACCTTTGTCATGGTTCTTTAATTGATTTGCTTGATGTGACCCTAAATAGGTTTTGCATAGGTGTTTGCTAAATCATCTATGCTTCATGGGGGTTGTAGCTCGATTAATGAGGAGAATTATGGTGTTGTAAGTGATCTAACAAGGGCTCTAAAGATGAGATTTTCCTACTGGAGCATGTTTGATAAGCTTAGGTTTAGAGATTCCTTACCATTCTCTTTGATTATGGATGAAAATGAAGGAATATACCCATCAACATAGACTATGAGGTTGCCAATCAGTGTGGCTTGGAATTGAAGTTACCATGTCAAGTAATTCGTAGATGTGAGTTTGATGGCGAATTTGGAGGCGGTTTGTAGCAATGAGAAGATAATTGGTTCTTGATGGGTTGGAATTGGTTGGGAGATGGCTGTCGAGGATTGAGTTTGATGGTGAATTGGGAGGAAATATTCTTTTGAAATATTGGAAATAAGTAATAAACAACATTTAAATATCTTCTATTCAATTAGGGCTTTTAAATATTTTTATAGATTTTTTCTAATGGATAACTTTTATGGATTTCGTGGACTTTTAAGTGACTTCTATGTATTTGTTAAGAATTACTCACCCCTCCCATAAAAATAGTCTTATTTCTTTTTTCAGATATATTGAGAAAATTTAGTTAATATAGTTGAAATAATAAATTTTACTATCATTTTTCCTAATATACCCCTATATTAATATAATCAATATTCAAGGTAATTAAATTATGCATGCAATATTCAAGTTAATTAAACTATTCTTGGTACTAATTATTGTTTAATGCAAAAATCAAGGTCATCAAATACAAATGAATAAATGTCATNAATACCAATGAATAAATATCATGGAAGATGATTTTTTTTTTTTTTTAGTTTTTAATTTATTGCTCCAACTATGAGTAATGGAGTGATTCATATTTGTGATAACAAAGCACATTAAATAGGAGCATATTAGGAAACTAATATATTAACTAAATTCTCAAATAAGAAACGTGACTATAATTTGAGACAAACGAAAAAGAAAAATACGAGTATTTTTATGGAACGGAGGGACTAATAAAAGTCTTCCATTGACTTCTATATATATGTCTTCCATCAAAAGATATAGCTAGGGGGGGTCAATGTAGCTCGTTCGTTCGGGCAGCCCATGGCTCGACCTGAAAAAGCTCGATCGGGCCGGCTCAAGGCTCGGTAGAACCAAGCCCCATTTTGGGTCATCGTCCCGTGATGAGTCGAGCGAAGTCGAGTCTTAAAAAAAATATTAATCTACAAAACTTAAAAAAATAAAAAAAAAGTTTAGAAAAAAAAATAAAAACATTACAATTTATAGTTGCTTGCAACGAATTTATTTAAACAAAAATTGAGTTTGCTCGGCTCGGCTTGGGCAAAAAAAAAAATTCAACCCATTTTTACTCTAATCGAGCTTGAGCTTCGAATTTCAGTTCGAAACTCGGCTCAAATTGTTGACATCCCTAGATATAGCCAAAAAATATAATCATATTGAATAATATATACCACTTAATCATTATACAATTCAAAAAAGAGAATATTAACATTTTCTTTTAAATGGGAAGAAGTTTGTTAGATCGATTTGTTAGAACTTTGCGACTTGCTTTGAAATAAAGAAATAACCAGTTTTTTTTTAATGATCAATTGGCTAGAACCTCGTAATGATAATATGTAATAAATTTGGGGGAAAAAGAATAACAAGAGAATTGGATACAAATGTGTATTTCGATATAACAACGAACGACCTCTATATATAGGATGTTACAATATGAATAAAATACACTATTATAGGGTTTTTAAAAAAAAATACCTTTTATGCCATCTCCAATGTGTGCACCAAAACACCATTTTGCACCAAATTTTGGTGCAAAATCACTCCAATATGCACAAAAGTTTGCACCATTTTGCATAGAGGTGTCAAGACGGACGGGCCGACTAAACCCGTGAAAATCGGCTCGGATCGACCCAAGACCGCGGGCCGACCCGTGACAAGAGCGGGCAGTTCACGGGTCAAGAAGGTGTGACTTGCGGGTTTCGTGGGTTGCACCTTCACAGACCGTGATTAACTCCTTGGCCCAAGAAAAAAAAAAAATTTAAATTTGAAAAAAAGAGGGGAGAGAACCAACCTAGTTGGGATGTATTTAAACTATAAATTATAATAAAAGTATGTGTCAACTTAGTTGGGATGTACTTAAACTATAAATTATAATAAAGGTAGGTGCCAACCTAGTTGGGATATACTTATGCTATAAATATTTGATAATAGTAATTAGAAATGCATTTAGTTGTTATTTGTTGAAGTTAAATTTAATTTTGCAAAGTTATAAATAATTCATATAATATTAAATTTGAATTCTATGTAAACATTTCTTGGGATAAATATGAATTTATCATTTTGTTCAATTCTTAATTTACATTTAACAAAAAAAATTTTTTTTTTGCTATAAATATGAAAAATTATATATTTTTATAATTTTATTTATACAATAATACTAGTTAAATCGGAACAAACCGTGACATGTGACCCGCAGGGGCTCGACCCAGATGGGTCAGCGGACGAGCTTGGGTTGTAGTCCAAAATTTATGGGCCGGCCCGGAACCCGTAACGGGCGGGCTTTTTTCACACGGGCCGTTACTGGGCTCAAATGTTGGCGGGTCAATCCGGCCCGAACTACCCAGATTGACACCTTTAATTTTGCACAAAAATGATTAAGTATAATTTTGTCCTTTACTTTCACTTTGTAAAAAAATTGTTTAATGGTATTTGTGTCCATTTTTGTTCTACATTTTTTAATACAATAAATTATTATTGTTGTTGTTGTTATTTTGATCATTTGTAATAAATTTTAATAATTTAATAAATAATAGTTAAGGGATTAATTAAAATAAGAATACTCAAAAAAAAATTGGGAGAGTAACAAACACGATTATTTAAAATTAACACGAAATCAGGATAAATAGGCTAACATTGCACTTCGAATCGCATTAATTGATCATTTGTGGGATAAATATACGAATTTCGAGAATTAAATTGCAACACTATTTTGATTTCATAATATAATGATATTGGGATTGGAAACACATTTAACTAAATTTTAATGACATGATTTAATATTTTCTTATTTGTGATGTTTCTATTAATTGTACCACATTTTAAAAAAGAAATAATGAATTTAATATTAGATGTTAAATAAATAAATTGTTAAGAATATGAAAAAGAAGAAAATAATTAAACACTGATCATTTGGTGTAAGTTTTGGTGTATTGGGTTGTAGATGATTTTTAGTATGGTGCAAAATAGTGCAAAACTTACTTCAAATTTTGGTACAACATTGATGATGGCCCGTGTCCTAATAAACTAAAGCTCTAGTTTGGAACAAATTAAAATTAAAATTTTAATGTAAGTCAAAGTTAACAATCAATTTTAACCACATATTTTATTAGATCAATAACTTTTCAACCACACATTTCATAAAATCTGATTATAATCCCTACCAGATAGGGGCTAAATAGTCATTAGTATTTATCCCATAATTTTATAGTACTCTTCAAAAATTGTACTCCCTTCGTCCCAATTATATAGGCTTGTTTCGTTTTTCACAGGACTTAAGAAAATTTCTTTAATGTCATTGAAAAATTAATTTTTGTCAAGATCTTTCCTAATTAATTAATTCAGTATGTAAAACTAAATTATTATTGGAATTAATAAAGAATTTGAAGAAGAAGAAATGAGAGCTGTTCTATGTTTTTAAGAAGTGGGAAATGTGTGTATTTGGATGATTTTAAGAAATTGACACATTAAATGGGGAAAATTTAATAAAGGTATATTGGTAAAAGAATACAATAAAATATTCTACATTAGGAAACATGCCTATATATTTGAGATAAGAGAAAAAAGAAACTCAACCGATATAATTGGGACGGAGGGAGTATTAGTTATTATTGACTTTTAGAATTATTAAATTTGAGTAGTTGAAAGTTTTATTAATCATTAATTTTTTTAAAAAACACACAACAAAAACAAAAATAAACTTTTAATTTTTGATATAATTCGAGTAACTATATGAATTTTATTTATTTTTTATCAGTTCATAATGAACAAATAGTAAGTAAAACAAAGTATATTACAGCATCACGACTCGATCTAATAAAAGATAAAGATTATCTATAAATATTGAATTACATATAACTTATTCAACTTTTATATCAAAATCACAAAGGTACCATAAAACACATATGTTAAATAAAAACTAGAAAAAATGTTACAAGGGGCACTCCACATTCATCAGTTTCCTAGTCTTTAGGTAGACTCAAATACGACATTTGCGTCTGGCAACCAAGAAGCACCATCAATGAGGGACTCTACACTATATTTTGAGGCCTCGGCCGGTGTAAGAGTGGGCTTAAACCCAGCCCATTTTACCCTACCCGCCACACTCGATCCAGGCCCAGTATTCAGATGTTCGGAATAGAAAATCGTACTTGGAGGATCCACATTACTGACCCATGATATCCAGCCCTGTGGTCTCAAGAACCCACCAATTTCAGTCTCCATAATAACTGTTGTCGAAAAATCTTTCCAGGGCCGGCCCAAATATGTTGGGGCCGTAAGGTTATCCAATGGGCTCATGGTACACCTTTGAACTGAAATGCCACTGTTTTGATTAGGATCCTTTTTGCCCTGAGCAGTTATGGTCACAAATTGGTTAGACAGTGGTTGTCTAGGCATAATGTTGCATTTTTGGAATACTACGGCCGAGTTGCCAAAGATGAAGTCGATGGTACCGGTGATATCACAATCACGGTAGAATTGGCGGTTTGAGTGTGCATATAGGGTGTCCTGAAACCCGTCAAACAAGCACTTGTATAATACTGACATATCGGAACCAGACCTTAGGGCAACCGCCTGGTGCTTTATTGCTCCCGCCGTATTTTTGAACCCGATATCTCTTGCGATGAATCCCTTGCCCGCAACAACTAGTAACAAAAAATCGTAACGTTAGTGTTACATCTAGAAGATGATTGCCCTAAGTTACCTAGTTTAGCTTTGACAAGTTCATAGAAATGTTCGTTAAAATTACTAGAACGAGTCAACTTAAAAAAAGAATAAAAACTTGTCATACTTTACCATGCAATGAATTAAATTATTAGTGTTAGGACCAATTGGCAAAGCTGGCCGCCAACTGCCCAATAATATAGTCTCGGTCGAGGTTACATGAACTTTGCTATACTCTTTATCTTTATACACATAATAAATAGAAGGAAAAAATAAAAATTTTGAATTATAAAAAATTGACCAAAAATTTTCACGTTACACTATACCCCCAAAGCAAAAAAATTGCAAGGTTCGTCTTGTTAAATGGTTAGATAAAATTACATGTACATAAATTAAGCCCATGTTTATCACTCATTTTCATTTCATTCTCATTTTTTTCTCTTTCTTCATTTTAACCACATATTCTCTCAATAAAATAATATTACACACAAATCTAAAATTTTTCATTACTTTTTCACCACACATTCTCCAATCAATCACTATTCTAAAAATTTTATATTCCAAAAAATGGGTGTCAAACACCCTCTTAGAATCTCATCATCAACAAACTTTCTCACATATTGGTGAGATTTAGCCCATGTTGATTTTTATTATTTTCAAAATACATTTTTCACTCTCTTATTTTCAACAACGCATTTTTCAATAAGATAATATTACACGTAAATTCAAAATTTTTTCCTTATTTTTTAACTACAGTCTCAATCAAAATACTATTTCAAAATGCATTATTTCAAAAAAAAAATAATTGGAACTCGTGGTCTTGTTTTTTCCATTAAAATCTTACGTATACACAATTTTTAATAATAGGTACATCTCTAAAAGTTAATCTTGAGAAGAGAAATTATATCCTTAACCTTAACACACCAAGATTATTAATTTTAACCTTAATACACCAAGATTATTTATTTTAATTGCTAGATAGGTGAGTAAAATAATGTGATTTCTTTATAGATGGGGATGATCTCAAACTAGAACCCAAGTGACTAAACAAATAATCAAGAAATTAAGGATGTGTTTGATTATTAGTATTTTCTCATGGAAAATGTGTTTTTCCAGTTAATTTCCTACTTTTGTGCTGTTTAATTGACAATTTTTTTTATGGAAAATATTTTTTTACTTGATTATATTTTTCTTGAAAATAATTAGGGAGATGTGGTTTTTATTTTTTAAGTAATTTACTCTCCCTCTCTCTCATCCACCCATCAATAAAAAATAAACAAATAAAATATTTTCTAAGTTGAAAACTAAATCAATCAAATACATTTAATTAATAATTTTCATATAAATAATTTCTAGACAATTAAATTGTCAATTTATTTTCTTTTTATGTAAATTCAATGCTCGCAATCAAACGTACTCTAATATTTATTAAAAGTGAACCAAAAAAAAAGTAAGAAATTCAGCAGCAAAAAAGTTTATTAGAAGTGTAAAAAGAAAACTTACCAAAGGTGGCCGTGGAGTAAGTTGGGGTACCGTCGACGAAATTCAAGCTGCCGGAAATTGTGGTGGCCGTCTTTCCATCCCCGTAGATCATCACATTCCACAAAGATTTATCCAAAACCACATTCTCTACGTACTCACCAGCTTTAATGTATATAACAAATCTTGTTTTGCTCTTTTTTGGAATCCTTGCCACCGCCTCTTTTATAGTCTTGACATCTCCGCCGTCCTTCGCCACCGTCACATCCGGCTTTGGCATCTCCTCCTGGAGAAGCCGCCGGTCACCCGCTGGAACCCACCCGGGAAACCCAGAATCCACTGCCCCCAAAAGCTTTCTATGAATAGGAATCCCAAAATCTCCAAGTATTCCGAGCAGTTTAGATACAATTGCTAAACTATTGCTGGCATATTCAGTGGAATTCTTCATCAGAAGCTTCACATCTCCAACTATACTCGCGTTCACCTCATTGAGAGCATCTAAGCACGTTTCTTGATCTGTAATAGTCGTGCTTAGCCATGTTTTCAGATCGTCGATCTTGGGAATTGAAATCAACATCTCCCCATTATTCACATTCATGGTGGAAATAGAATCGTTGAGATAGTCTACAGCTTCATCTAACACGATTTTACAGACTTTCAGCGCGTCTTTAACTCGTGGATCATTCGTTCTGTTCATCCATTCCCCTGGGAATGTAGACAATTTCTCCAAAGAATCCATAACCACTTTTAAAGAAAATTGGAAAATCTTTTCTGGGTCAGTTGAATTTGAGGAATCCATTGATGACAAGCTCGTGAAACAAGATTCTTGATACTGGGTCACACTGCAGACACCTTTGATTGCCGCTGCTGAAGAAGTTGGAGTTGAAGGCACCTCATTGGAGTCATTTTTGTTCTTGTTATGAACAAGGGTTCCAACTACTACTCCAATAATCAAAACAACCAAAACTATTAGTGAAATGCCGAGAATAATTAGACGCTTACGGGTTTTTCTTTTGAAAGCTAGTTCTTCCTGTGGATCGACTTTGCCATAGCCCTTGAATGACTTGATTGTGTCCATTGGAGCAAAGCCAATTTGGGATTTTCAGTATGAAAATGTGAAATGAGAGTTTGTTGATAAAGAAATGGCAGGATTCAGAGCTTTTGTGCCGTGTTCTCTGTCTTATCGCATGGTGGCACTTTATAGTACAGACACTGGGAGAAAGAGATGGGGGTGGGGTCACGCTTCTTCATCCTTTGGAAGTTGAAACAAATGGGCAAACGTTAGATCGCTCCACAATATTATTAAAATAAGAGGAAATTGCACTGTGTCAATTTTTGGCTTTGCATTTACAAAAATGTCACTTTTTAAAAGTATTTGCAAAATTGTCAATTTTGAACATTTTTTCCCCTCTAGATAAATTAAATGCCTAACATGTCGTTCATTAAATGAGATTTGACTAGATGAGAAATTTGTACAAAAAATGTGTAAATTGTCAGAATATTGTGTCAATTTTGGAGATTAAAAAAAAAGAAAACAAACACAAGAAAATTAAACCCCTAAACTCACTCCACCGCTTAAAGAGAAGAATCCAACCACTGAACTCACTCTCCTCTCATTCGAATCGCCGGAAATCCCCTTAGCCGTCAACTACCACCGTCTAAAGAAAAAGAAACAACCCTGAACTCAGTCCCATCACTCATTCGATTCACCCGGAAAAAAAAAAAAAAGAAGAAGAAACACTGAACTCACTCCCCTCACCGAATTCCCGTTGAGTACCACTGCCGAACGAAGACCACTAAAAATACATTTGAAGCCAACATTCAAACAATCAATCGACTGTGTGGGTGGGGGATAAGGAATCAGGCCAAGATCCATATCCTTCAATTTTTATGGGTTTCTCTTGTTCTTTGATGAAGTGTAAAAGAATCTTGATTTTACTTGTACACTTGAATTGCTGTTTGATTACGTAGATGCATTTTTTAAGAAAATTTGTTGGATGATGTAGGCTGCGAAAGTGAGATGGCCGAGTCTATTTGATCAGATGCACATAGTTCATATATATTTGATTGTCTTCTTTGAACTTGTGTCAATTACTTAATATATTAATGTCTGTAATTAGTGATTAGTTTTGAAAAATTGTAAGGAGAAAAGTATTTGCAATGTAATTGTGTTTAATGGATTTGGCTATCGATCAAAGTGAAGACCATTACACTAATTTATGTAATGTAGTTGATCTCTTTGTGTGAAAGTGGGGAATAATTTGTATCGTAGTTGCTAGGCTGTTCTTGTTCTTTTCAAAGTGGAGTTTGTAGGTTGCTATTGGCACTATGTATTGTATCAGTTATTTCTCTGATTGGAATGAAAAAAATAAAAAAATATGCTTAAGTCTATTATTGTGCCTACTGATTATTTCTAGAAGTGCTTGATGTTGAGTTTTGTTCATGATAAATCCTACTTTAGATCTTACAGGTTATTTTCCTATTTCTATTTAGCTTCTACAATGAAGTTAAATCACTGGTAATCAAATTGATAGTCACATTGATGTCATGGTTTTTCCAGTTCATCCAAGAGTCTTAATATATGAATGAGAACATCGGTACAAAAACACCATCAAAGAATTCACCAGTACATATCAATTGATTAATGATTTGTGATTACCTCATTTGTTTTGTGAATTGTGTTTGTGATATATGAGATTTAGTTTGTGAGATATGAGATTTAGCTCTTGAATAATACCTATTTCCAGGTCAAAAGTAGATTTCTCGACAGTTTACCAGTTCACCCAGTCATTCTCGACGGATGGAAAAATCTCGACAGGTAAACTTCACCGCAGTCATTCTCGGCAGATGGAAAAATCTCGACGGGTGAACAGTCGACGACAGTTCACTGCAGTCATTCTTAGCAGATGAGGTGAGTTTTTCTCGACACATGACAGTTCCACATGTCGAACATTGCTTCATTCAAATGAGTCTGGTGTTTTTGATAATCTGCAAAGAAGATATGGTCCGAATGAAATTTATGTGAGTTCTTTGGGAATTATGTTCATTATTTAAATTTGGAAGTGTTCTTTAATTGATTACTTTCATTACCTTTGCATCTATATGTTTTGAAACTAAGCTAAGCTTGTCAAAAAGGAGAAAGCAATGTACGAATTATTGTGATCTGAACTTTTTTTTTTTTTGTACATTATTCTTGCAGATGAATTTTGAACTTCTCGTTCCTGAAAATGCGCTCTTGCACGCCTGTATCTCTCAAAGGAGTAATTTCTAGTACGTGAAAATCGTGTTAGACAATTTCAATGCTCAGCAGCGAGAAGAATTCGACAACTCTTACCTCGGGTTTCTGGCCGATGTACCGAATTCGTTAATGTTGTTTTCAACCAGATGGAGGAGATATCGACCCCGAAATATTCTACCCGGCTAACGAGGAAGTTCCCTCAGAATTTCACGTCATGGAGGCGGATGGTAAGTTTTGTATTGGAGAAGTTATACTATGTTCAATTTTTTTTTATAGACTATAAGAATGTTGAGTTGAAAACTATGATTTCAATGCAGATGGTACAACATGTTGGATGATGTCATGGAGGAAACAACACTACCCACTTCTAATGTCATGGTCCAATATGAAGGTAAGTTCCCAAAGAAGGGTTCATGTTATTGATTTTAGGTACCCGAGCATGTAATTAGATGTTTGTAGGCTATGTTATGTTAGTATTTGGCCTTTTTGGACAACTAATTCAGCCCATACTACTTGTGCATAAACGATGTCACTGACATACCAGTGGCGACCACCATACCTGTCGAAGGCAAGGATACAGTTCACACGAAGAGGCGGCGATCGACACGCCTTCGCTTCCCTGCCTCATCTACCAGGACTCCATACACCAAGGGAATGAGGAAGAGAGTCAAGAATTAATTTCAAAAAAAATTGTTTGAGAGTATGAACACTACTCATTTTGCAACATGTGGATGTAAGGTGGATGTTGATGTATTTGTGATATGTCAACTGTTAAATTTATCAAACATCGCTAAGTTTGCCATTTCTTTTGTACGCTACATTCGTTACGTCTATCGTTTCTTATGTCAACTGTTGAATTTATCAGACATCGTTATTGTACTTTTAATGTTTCTGCCTGATTTATTATGGAGTAAGTAGATCTTGAAAATATCTATTTAATTATATGACAGAAGTAGATTTCTCGACATTTCACTTCAGTAGAGACGTAACATCTTCCTGAACTATCGTTCCCGATAGTTACTCGCAGTAATTCTCGACAGATGCTGTTATCCCGACAGATGAACTGTGGATACCGTAATTTTCTGTCAACTGGGAAAATGTTGCCTATGTTATTCATGTTGAAGATGGGGTACTGTTTTGTTGTTTGAATGTCGTAATGTAGTGAATCAACGTCTTTAGGATTCCTCATCGAATTCATGGTTGATGCATGGTTTTTGTGAGCCATAGTTCATTGCCAAGTGCTGCTTCAATTTGTTGAAGTATGTAACAATCCCAGATGACCATACTACAATTAAGACACAGTTTTTAAAGAAAATTTATTGCCAACAACTGAAGTCGGGAATTTGTAAGAGAAAATGGTACAACCTCGTTAAGATTTACAATTGTGATAAATTATGGACAAAGTTTAGATCATTAAGGTACAATTAGACCTTAAACCATCACAATTGTCTTTCAAATTAAGTTTGAGTTGTGACTAGGTGATTGGGTAATAAATCACCATAGTTGCTTCCCTCCAAAAAGTTCATTATAAATAACATGGCATCACTTTATTATGAGTTATACTTACACACTTCATAATCTTTGTGACACTATATACTACTCACATACACAAACAGTTTCACACATCCTATTGCATTCTCCATAATGGGTTCGTCCACGAGAATCAACGAACTGTTCAACCTGAATGAGCTCATGCCAATACCTTGTTCGTCCCCATTATTCCTCAATACGACACGATGAATCTCAAATGATTACTCATACCTGAAATGTTGAGATTGCAACGGTAAGAATTTCGCATAATAAATATGTCTACAGTTAATAATATAATTGTGGAATTTTCGAATATTGAAATCCATGTAGTAGCAGAATGTGAAATCAAGGATGTGTCAATAGTTTTCAAGTGTCGAATTTGACAGTTAAATTGTCAATCCCGATAGTTCAGAAATATCGGGTTTGACAGTTCATATGTCTAAACCGACTTTTTCAACATAACTATTTGACAGATGAACTCTAGGAACTGCCGAAAAACTTGAAAACATGTATTGGTACCTTTAAAGAAATTATTGAAAACATTAATGGTGATAATCAATTCTCAACTACAACATGAAAACATCTTCCCATTAATAAATAACTCAATGTTTTATTAAATATGAATCCTTCATTTTTGTACAGGATATTAGTATTTTTAACCTTTAAAAATATTTCAAAAACTAAACAAATCAATGAATAATAGTTTCTAAAATTTCTCCAATTGTATTTCACAATATTGTATTTAACATCTAAAAAATAGTAATCTATAAGATAAAATTATAAACAATTTGTAATGGCTAACCTCTCAAAATCGATGATGAATTAAATAGTAATGTGTTCTTGATCAAGGAATGAAGAAGATGGAGAAGAAGTTAGGGTTTGTTAATGGGAAGAAGATGTGTGGTTATATTAATATTTCAAATTCTTTTAT